TAGGTGTAAATGTCGTTTCTAATATTATAGTTCTCATTTATAACTATAATGAGTTAATAAACTGTTATAATTATCAGACAAATGTTTATAATAATCTGACAAAACTTCTAAATACATCATTCATGTTAAATAGAAACAGTTTGAAAACTACAAGAGATTTAATAAATAAAAGCACACTAAATTAATTCTCATACAATGTACAATGTCAATGAAAGCTAGGTGTAAATGTCGTTCTAATTATATTTCCATTTATACTATACCGAGTTGCTGTAGAATGTTATAGTATTAGACAATATTGTTTATAATTTAATTCTGCACAAATTTCCTAAAATACAGCATTCATATTAATGGAACGGTTTGAAAGTTACAAGAGATTTAATACATAAATGCACAATGGAGTTTGTTGTCATAATATAAATAGTACAGCGGGTCAAAAATGTGTTTATGTGATATGGGGTATCATTTGAAAGGTCTCAACGAGCACTTTGAATATGTTCCTTGAAATAGCAACAAAACAAAAGGGTTCCTGGTTTTTTGAGTATACCGGGTTTTTGTAGAATGAATGTATACATTAAATTTTTAAATATATAAATCAACATATCAATTTCATAATATATTATTAAAATAAAATTATGTACTTATATATTATTAGTATTTATTAATTAAACTACTAAATAATTATTACTGCACCGAAAATTTGAACAAAATACTTCAAGTGTGAAGTTCGCGCGTTTACTTCAACCGTTAAGATTTAAAATTCAAATTTGAAATACATTAAAAAAAATTGTGAAAACATGTATATATATATTATATACTATCAAAACGCTAATTACATTACCTACAATCTTGAAAAAAAAGGATAAACTTTAAATTCGCAATTCGCAAAGACGTTTTTATAAATCAGTTTTGTCTTATGATTCAAACGATTAAGAATAACTTTAACTTCGGAAATACAATTTTTTACATAATAATTCATAATTAAATTAACAATTATACTTTATTCTTTATTTTTTAGGATACAACACCCGAAGAAATCCTACATCCTACTCTCGGACCAATTTATTCAGGGAAAATGAAAACAAGACTGTGTTTAGTATTAGACTGTATTAGTCCACATGATTTTTGGTAATAAAATATAAATTAAATATAATATAAATATATATATATATATATATTTAATTCAATAAATTATTATTATTATTTTAGTGAAAAATCAGCAGCCTTAGTAAATCTTCAGCATTATGTGATTCGAGAGAAAAAATTGTCTGAACGTGCGGCCGTTGCTATATTTTATAATGTTATATGCGTAGTTGAAAGTTTACACAAGGTAAAGTATATTTATATTTATATATATATATATATATATATATATATATATATATATATACGAGGTGTGTTCAAAAAGTACCCGGAATTACTAATAATTAAATTTCGCGGGTCTGGAGTGTCTGATTGTAAAAATTTTTTTTTTATTGTGTTGGTATACATGCCCCTAAAGTATGATGAATTTTCAGCTATATTCACTGTTTACTTTGTCTGTGGTAGTCGCTAAGGTTCGACGTGTTTTTCTGAGCTCGGCGATTTTTACAATGGAAGAATTGAAAAGTCAAAGAATTTGTATTAAATTTTGCGTAAAAAATGAAATAAAGTGTTGCAAAGTGCAAAATTCACCAGATATGGCTCCGTGTGACTTTTTCCTATTCCCAAAGTTGAAGAGACCCATGAAAGGACGGCGGTTTTCCTCGATTGAAGAAAATCGCCGAGAGTGCTCAAGGACATATCAAAAAGTGAATATCAAGGGTGCTTCGAAAATTGGAAAAAACGCTGGCATAAGTGTATTATATCTGGGGGGGACTACTTTGAAGGGGACCACATTAATGTAGACGAATAAATAAATATTTTTTTGAGAAAACGAAAATTCCGGGTACTTTTTGAACAGACCTCGTATATATATATAATTGTTTCTTTTTTTTCAGAAAAATATAGTACACCGTGACCTAAAATTAGGCAATTTAGTTTTAAACCGTAGAACAAACAAAGTCACAATAACAAATTTCTGCCTAGGAAAACATTTATCAAGAGAAAGTGACTTGTTAAATGATCAAAGAGGTTTGTTAAGACTTATCACATACTTTTTTTTATTAATTTTATATTATATAATTATATAAAATAAATATTATTTACCTTCTAGGTTCACCAGCATACATATCTCCAGATGTCCTATGTGGACATCCATATCATGGCAAACCCTCCGATATGTGGGCCTTGGGTGTAGTTTTATACACGATGCTCTATGGCCAATTTCCATTCTATGATTCTTCACCTACAGTATTATTTTCAAAGATAAAGTCAGCTGACTATATTTTACCAGTGTAAGTAGATAAAATATAAATGATACATACATATAAAACATAAAATAATTTTGCTCCTGTCGTTCTACTTTAACTGCATTTAAAATTGAACAAAGTACCTAACACTCTGAAGTTGTCTGCAGTTCGTACTGTCAACTGTTTAAATTTGAATCTTATAAAATGTGTTTATTGTTATTGTTATTTTTATTTTTGCGCAAATTATAAATTAAAGAAATGTCTAAAAAAGTTTAATCAGTTTATTTATTAGTTAAGACCATTTTCAAAATTATTATTAGGGAAGAAGTATTAAAAATAATTACTGAATTTATTATTTAAGGGGGTCTTCCTATGTGACGGCCTGTTTTTTAGGGATATTTTAGAATTTTTTTTCTACGACCAGTAAATAGTTAGAGCTTCAAGTTTTTTATCATTTATTAATACATATTTGGACAGTATAAATATAAAATTTCAGCTAAAAAATTTAGTCCAACTAGAGTTACAGCGCTCTAAACACCCCCCCCCCCCTCAAAAAAAAGAGCTCCCACTGTCTCCACGATTCCGGCTGATCGGCTTATCTGATCAAAAAAAAATAAACGGCGTTTTAATTTGTAGGCTTAAAAACACGGAATGAACTACAATCAAATAAATACAAAAAAAATTGGATGTTTTATAGACATTTGAAATAAAAGTTGCAAATTAGGCGGTTTTTTTTGTTTTTTTGCTATAAAAAATCGAAGTTTTGAAATTTTTGATTGATTAGATCATTCCATACGCTTAAATATATTGAATGTGCCCTGTAAATTTCAAGTAATTCGGTCCAGCCGTTTCTGAGATACAATGGAGACAAGTTTGAAAAACACAGTTTTGAGAAAAACGCGTTTAAAGATAAAATGATCGTTGTACTATATACTATATGTATACTTTTTAAATGGCTGTAACTCAAAAACTATTTGAGATATCGATTTGAAATTTTAATATGTTATTTTTAAAGGAATAATCTACCGAAATATGAAATAAAAAAAAATTCAATTTTTTCAACTCATCACATAGGAAGACCCCCTTAACAAAGTACCTGACACTCTGAAGTTGTTCGCAGTTGGCGCTGTCACTTCATTTTTGACCGTTGATATTTGAATTTATGCTTTCATAATTAAGAGATAAAATCTTTCATAATTAAGAGATAAAATTAAGGGACCGATTCTGCCGCAATGTTATGATAAGTTCATGTTATGAAGAATTTTCCATAGTAATATAGACAAAAGTTATGCGGTTGGTGTTCAGTCAGGCGAATTTCTCAGGTTTTCTCATACAAAACATAACCTAAAAGCCGCACAAATGTCAAAAAAACGATGTTAGATAAGTGTGTGTTTCTGATTCCTCTTAGGTAAGATACGAGTGACGTTGCAGTTTATGTTTAAAACGCCGGAATGAACAGCAAATACATGATATTTTGACAGCATTCAGTATGATTCATTCGCATAATGTATGGGGAGTCGGAGAGTAACATAGCCATCCCGTAACATTTCTCTGTTATGCGCAGAATCGGTCCATAAGTATCAATAAGATAAGATTACTGCTTATTATTATTTTTGTACAAATTATAAGTTAAAAATGTCTATAAAACTTTGCTTTATATATTAATTTAAATTATCATTAGATCATCATTATATTGAAAATCGCGAGAATTAACACTTGAAATTTTTTAAAATTTAAAATTGCAAGTAATTTGTTGTCAGATAATGTGAAATAAATTATACATATATATTGTAATCACTACTGTAATCCCGCTATTAATATTTCTCAAAATTATAGTAAACATCAATATGTTTTATTAACAACTAATCAACTATTTATGTCACAGATTATCTAATCAATTAACTATCTAATTCAAACACCCACACACACACATATATGTATATATATATATATATATATATATATATATATTTATTTATTTATATATATATATATATATATATATATATATTATTTTTTTCAGGGATGGTAGGGTATCGAACAGTACCCTAATACTAATAAGACAATTACTAGTGCTGGATCCAGATAGAAGATACACTGCCACAAAAGTACGAGGTGCTCTTGAAAGTATTATTTTTTCAAACAGAGGACCAAATAGTGATATTGATATGCAAATTGTACCAGATATTGATGATAATGACACGAAGGAAAAACCCAAAAAGGTAATAAGAAGAAATTTTGAGAAACTAAATATATTATTAACTTTCCAAATCAGATTCTGTAGAGTTCTCCTTGTCTTTAAATATTATTTGTTCGTGAGTAGAGTTCTTTGTTTCTAATCCATACAGAGCACTTTGGTTGAAATAGCAATTGCATTTGTAAAAGTTTTAGTTTGCTTGTCAGTAGAGTTCTTTTTTTAATTTACTTGATATTATTATCATTACTAGAGGATTTTTTAAACTTTAAGTCATTAATTTATTCTAAATTGCGTTTGCTCGTCAGTAGAGTTCCTTTCTTCACTTTAAAATCGTAGTTTATACGTCAGTAGAGTTCCTTTTTTCTCTTCAAATCGTGTTTGTTCGTTAGGTAAATTCTCTTTTTTTCTCTCTAAATCATATTGGTTCGTCAGTACTGTTCTATTCTACTTTCCTGAAATTGAATAAGCTTGTAAGTGAAGTCCTTTTCTCAATCGTCCTTAATTCTGATCTGTACAGAATGTTTAATTGTGATTTTACTAATTGCTTTAGAAACTTTTTTTTCAAAAAGTTTTCAGTTTGCTCGTCAGTAGAGTTCTATTTTACTTTCCAAAAATCGAGTTCGTTCGTCGGTGAAGTTCCTTAATTTAATTTAAATCGTGTCTGTTCGTCAGTAGAGTCCTTTTTCTTGTATATACTTGTCAGTAGAGTTCAATTTTGATCAATTTAGTCGATCATGTTTGCTTGTCAGTAGAGTTCTTTCTCAGTAGAGTCATTTTTCGCTCTTCAAATCGTGCTTGCTGGTCAGTAGAGTTCTTTTTTCTCTTCATGTCGTATTTGTTAGTTGGTAGTTTCTTTTTTATTAATATTTTTTAAACATTTCTCTTTATTATTTTGCTCATCAGTAGAATCCCTTTTTGTCTTAACATTTATACAAAAACATTTCCCTTTAATATTTTGCACAAATTGAATTTGCTTATCAGGTGACTTAACATGTCTTATTTACTTTATTGATATTTTTATAAGTTTAAATTGTTAGTCAGTAGAGTCCCTTTCGAAAATACAAAAACAAAATATATTTTGCACGCCAGTAGAGTCCTTTTTCTCTCTTATTTTGCTGCATTAGTTTGCTCGTCAGTAGAGTTCCTTTTTGCATAGAAATTTTCCAAGTGTTTCTCTTAAATATTTTTAACAGATTTAATTTGCATGTCAGTGGGGTCCCTTTTGTCTTTTATTCCAGTTTGCTGCTTTTTGTCTCTAATTTGAGTTTGTTCGTCAGTAGAGTCCCTTTTCTATTTTATTTCAACTTCGTCGTCAGTAGAGTTTCTTTTCCATTTCAATCCAATTTCATCATCAGTAGAGTCCCTTTTTTGTTGCAAATTTTTAACTTATATTATGATTTTCAGTTTGCTTGTCAGTAGAGTTCCTTTTTATTGCAAACCGATGAGTAATATGAATTTCAATTTGCTCGTTTTTGCTGCATATTCATGACTAATTTTATTTATTGCAGTTTGCTCGTCAGTAGAGTTCCATTTTATTTTTTCTCAGATCAGTAGAGTCCCTGTTTTGTTGGAAGTTGCAAATTGTTAACTAACATTATTATTTTCGGTTTATTCGTCAGTAGAGTCCTTTTTTTGTTACAAATCAATGACTAGCATTATGAATTTCGGTTTGCTCGTCCCGTTTTTTCTCTCTTATTTTAGTTTGCTTGTTAGTAGAATCCCTTTTTGTCCCTTTTTGTCAGTAGAGTCCCCTTTTCAATTTCATTTTAGTTTGCTCGCCAGTAGAGTACTTTAGTTACTTTAGTTTGTTTGGCAGTAGAGTCCTTTTCATTTTATTGTAATTTGTCAGTAGGGTCTCTTTTCTATTTTAACTCAGTTTGATCGTCAGTAGAATCCCTTTTGTCCAATATATTTTCCATTTCATTTCAGTTTGATCGTCAGTAGTCTTTTTTATATCTTATTTCTTTGTTCGTCAGTAGAGTCCATTTTTATTTATTCAAAACAAAGCTAATGTTTATTGACAATTTCAACATTTTGCCTTCAAACAAGTTGTATTAGTTTTAATATTCCTGATTGACAAAAGAGACTCTGCTATCGATCAAATGAAAAAGGGACTCTACTGACGAGCAAAATGAAATGAAACAATAAAGGACTCTACTGATGAGCAGAATAGCATTAAAACAAAAAGGGACTATACTGAGGAGCAAACTGAAATTAGGAGTAAGAAGGAACTCTACTGACGAGCAAATTAAATTAACACAGAAAATGTTGAAGATAAATGTTTGTAAAGAATGTTAAGGCAAAAAACGATTCTACTGATGAGTAATTTAAATTCGTAAAAAAAATATGTTTAAAAAAAATTTGAATTATCATTTTTCAAATATTTCTCTTAAATATTTTGCATAAATTTAATTTGCTCGACAGTAGAGTTTTCTTTCATTTCATTCTAGTTTGTTCGTTAGTAGAGTCCCTTTTTCATTTTATTTTAGTTTATTTGTAGAGTTTCTTTTCCAAATTAAATTTTGCTTTCTCGTCAGTAGAGTCCCTTTTGAATTTCATTTCGGTTTTCTCGTCAGTAGAGTCCGTTCTCAATTTTCATTTCATCTCTAATCTGCTCGTCAGTTGTGTCACTTTTTGCATTGACATTTAATTTTCTCCCTGAAAGCCCGTTCTTTTTTTTCATTTTTTATTTGCTCGTCAGTAGAGTCCTTTTTGTTGCAAAGCTTATTATGAATTTTGTTTTGCTCGTCAGTAGAGTCCCTTTTTGTTGCAAATCGATGAGTAACATTATTAATTTCGGTTTGCGCGTCAGTATAGTCTTTTTTGGTCTCTTATTTCAGTTTGTTCGTCAGTAGAGTTTTTTTTCTATTTTATATCAGTTTGCTCGTCGGTAGAGTCATTTTTATCTCTTTTTTATCGATAATTTCAGTTCAGTCCAGTCATTATAGTAAGTTCACCTCGGAATACGAGATACCCAGCTGTAAGTCTATAAATAGTTGTATATTGACATCCTAAAGTTGTCTCAAAACCTATATATGGTAGTGTGTCAATATCATATGTTGTATGTCATAAAACTTACAACAGGGTATTTCGAATTTCGAGATTCTTACTTAATTTAAACTTAAACGACTAGATTAGTTTGCTCGTCAGTAGAGTCCTTTTTTCATTTTCATCATTATTACATATGATAAAATATATAAATAAATTTTAATATTAATTTATTATTATATTTTCCCCAGACCGATACATCTACAACACCCCTCACAAACATCCCCATATCCCAATGGGTACAACCGAAAACCTTCGAAAACTTCGAAGACACCTTCCTGACCACCAAACCAATAATCCACCAAACCGAAAACGACGCTCGGGGCCTCACATCCGCCGAAAAGGTACAATACCAACACCTACTCAGTCTTAGCAATATAAACAACCTCATAAACACTCGAGTCGGCGGCCAAAGGGACAATAGTAATACAATCACATCAGGAATTGTCAGCAGCACAAATAACGACGACTCATCTAGTTCATCCTCTAATTTAGCGTCACAAATAAATATTATGATGGAAAGTTCACCGGAGATGATGAGGGGTTTATCTAATTCCTCGTCCCGGTTGCCCCAAAGGTTTTCGCGGAGCTCCGATAGAAGACCGAGGGTATTAAGATTTAATGGAGGTCAGCAGTTTTCGGCGAGCAGGAATCAGAGTAGTAGATTGACGTCGAGGTTGAGGAATTTGCAACTGTTTATGAGGTCTTATATGGATACGACGAGCGAGCCCTTGATGGGTAGTTTGAGGTATCAAACTGGAGGCGGAGGTGGTACTGGTGGTGATGGAAGGTCGTAGAGTGATTTGGTTGTGTTTAGTTAAGGTTTGTGTATATTTGTATGAAGTTTGTATATATATGTTAAATAAAGAAATGTTTTGTTATTAAGTGTTTTAGTATAATGAACTGCAACAAATTATTTTATTCAACAAAAATTTGAACTCAGACAAATTAAATAAGATAAAAGTACATCTGTTTCATTCGTGAAGTTCTACAGGTAATTACAGGGTGTTCATAGAAGTTGGGTTGAGGAGTTGAAGTAAACCCTTTCATAATGGGGAGTAGAATGCTAGAATTTAACTAGTTGGTATGGTATTTAGCTTTGAGGCAATTACATGAAATTCCCGATATGTTTAAATAATCGACTTAATCAATAAAAAATAAATTAATTTATGAGTCATTAAAGTATTCCGAGTGGATTTATTACACATAATTGAAAAACGAACGAACACTTTGACTCGGAGTATTTTCTAAAAGCAATTTTTCAAAAATCAATAATTTTTATAATTGAACCAGTTTCCAGGACTTTAATGATTTATTATGTTCAACTACTCATTTTGTCAAATTTTGATGAATTTTTAAAATCAAACTATTTGTCGTAAGGCCGTAATATTTCAGTAAGTTCTATAAGACCATGGTATATATCGCTAAAGAAAAATCAATAAAAATCGGCTTAAATTTTTTTTTCAACACTTAATTACAAGAAAACGGCTCGGTAGATTTGCATCTAAAACTAATCAGTATCATTCCCAACTAATATCTTTCGAACAGTTTTTGATTTTTCAGAATCGGTTCGGTAGGATGAGCTTAAATGTGGACGAAAGGTTTAACACTTTTTTTCAAATTGCAAAGAAACGGCTTGGCAGATCGTCACACAAAACTGACAAAAGATAGTCCTCACTGAAATACATCAAATGGCTTTTAAATTTCTAAAATCGGTTCAGACATTTTTGAAAAAACGTCGATCAACGGTCTAATTTTGACAAATGCCAAAAAACCGATACCAATTTTTGCAAACTTTGACGAATTTTTAAAGCTGAACCAGTTGTTGTAGGGCCGTAATATTTTAGTATGATCTAGAAGTCTATAGTATCTACCGTCAAAAAAATAATCATAAAAATCGCCGAATTTTTTTAAAAAAAAACTTTATTACAAGAAACCGGACCGGCCGATCTCTACCAAAAACTAATCTGGTCGATTCCCAACCAATATCTTTCGAACGATTTTTGAATTTTCAAAATCGATTCAGAATTGCGGGCTAAAACGTGGACGAAAAACTTTTCACTTCTCTGCTATTTACGAAGAAACGGCTTGGCCGATCGTCGCACAAAACTGACAAACAATAGTCCTCATCGAGATACATCGAATGGCTTTTAAATTTTTGAAATCGGTCCAGCCGTTTTTGAGAAAACGGCGATTTACGGCAAAAAATCTGTTGGTGCACATGCACACACACATACACACACACACACACACACATACTTTTTCCAAATTTGGTCTCATTCGATTCAGAATGGCTTGAAACGTCGAGAAAACATAAAATTAGCGAATCTGATTTTTTGATGAAAACAAACTTCTCCTTCGGGAAGTTAAAAAATGAAAGTAATTGATATTGTCATGCGTCACAATATCTTGAAACGAGTGGTGGTGTATGGCATCGTGCCTTAAGGCAAATTGCTAGAACTTACCGTACCGTAACGAAATATTCGAGAAATGTTAAACGTTTTCAAATATATTATTACAACAAATACTGTAACTTTCATTATTTTCTTTGCTATCTTGTTATATCTTGCAAAATCAAATGTAAATCATAAATCTCCAGGATTTATCTCCAGAACATTAACAATCGTCATTTTATTTTTTATTTACTTTCTCAGTTTGCTCGTCAGTAGCCCCTCTTTAATTTCTCTCCTAGTTTGCTCATTAATAGAGTCCTTTTTTAATATTTTTTTTCGTTTTGCTCGTCATTTGCGTCCCATTTAATTTTTTTTCGCCATTTACTCGTCAGTAGAGTTTCTTTTTTAATGTCTCTCCTAGTTTGGTCGTCAGTAGAGTCCTTTTTTTAATAACCTCCCTTTTTTTTCTCACTTTGTTCTTCAGTAGAGTCAATTTTCAATTTTGTTCTTATTTAGTCGTCAGTAGAATCCCTTTTTTATTTACTTTCTCGGTTTCTGTGTCAGTAGTCCCTTTTTTTAAATATTCTCCTTCGGTTTTTCAGTTTGCTTGTCACTAGATCCTTTTTTAATATTCTCTCTCAATTTTTTTCTCTCTTTGCTCCTCAGTTGAGTCAATTTTCAATTTTGTTCTTATTTTAGTCGTCAGTAGAATTCTTTTTTTAATTACTTTCTCGGTTTGCTCGTCTGTAGATACCTTTTTTTTTAATCTCAATTTTTTACTTAGCTCGTCAGTAGAGTCCATTTTTATTTTTTTTCTCATTTTGCTCGTCAGCAGGGTTTTTATTTTTCAATCAGTTTGCTAGTCAGTAAAGTCTTTTTTTTTAATATTCTCTTAATTTTTTTTCACTTTGGTCGTCAGTAGAGTCGTTTTTTAATATTTTCACTTTGCTCATCAGTAGAAAGGACTCGCTTTTTTATTTTCTTCTAGCAGTTTGCTTCTCAGCAGAGTTTCTTTTTCAATTTTCTCGTTTAATTTGCTCGTCAGTAGAGTTTCCTCTGTAGTAGAGAGAGTCTCTTTTGTAATCTTCTAGTTCTAGTTTGCTCGTCAGTAGTCCTTTTTTTTGAATATTCACTTTTAATTTTTCACTTTGGTTGTCAGTAAAGTCCTTTTGCAATATTCCTCCCAATTTTAATCACTTTGATCGTCAGTAGAGTCCTTTTTTTGTTTACTTTCTCTAAATAAGTGCTCTTTAGTGGTATTTTCTTTATATTTTCTTCTTCAGTAGAGAAGAAAGAAACTCTACTGATGAGCAAAATGAGAAAAATAAATAAAAAGGAACTACACTGACTAGCAAAGAACAAAAATTTAACTAGTGGGGTGTGTGGCATCGTGCCTTAAGGCAAATTGCTGGAACTTCTCGTACCGTAACGAATGTTGGAGGAATATAATAAAGTTTTCAAATAGATTATTATAAATACTGTAACTTAGTTCATTATTCGTATTTATAGATAAAATATAAAAGCTTATAAACTGGACGACATCGTTTATATATGTTTACATGATTATATATGTTTACATGGCTACCTGACAAAAAAATTCATCAAAATCAGTTCAGCTGTTTTGGACATTAACTCAAACAAATAGAGAGACAGAAAAACATGCTGAAAATTGTTAATATTAAAATTCATAAAAACAGATACTCTAACTTTATTTACAGATACATTTTTCAATCAAATTGACAATTTTTCTTAAGATTTTAGTCCAATTTGCTCGTCAGTTAAGTCCCTTTTTGTCCTTTAGTTCACAATTTAATTTGCTCGCCAGTATTTTTATGTCCTAGTCTTCAAATTAATTTGCTTGTCAGTAGAGTCCCTTTTTAGTCTGACAGATTAAAAAATTAAGTTTGCTCGTCAGTAGAGTCCCTTTTTCTTACATTTCATACTATAATTTTTGTGGTTGTCAGTACAATCTATTTTTTCTTGAAGTCTTCATTTACTCGTCAGTAAAGTTCCATTTTCCTAAGGCTAAGCTTAATTTGCTCGTCAGTAGAATTCGTTTTTATATTTCAGTCTTCAAATTAAATTTGGTTGTCAGTAGAGTCCTTTTTTTAACTTCCCTTAGGACAAATTATAGTAATCACAAAAAAATCGAAAATGAAAATTTTTATATATCTTTACGTTTCAGAGGTTTCTGAACATTTTGGCATACCTTACAAAACTAATGGATGTGTGTATGTGTTTTGTATGTCCGCATGTTTTCGTCCACGTTTTCGGGCGCACGGATCAACCGGTTTGAATAGTTCAAAACAACATTCGATTCGTATTGATAAGGAGACGTGCTGATTAGTTTTTGGCGAAGGCAGGTCTAGCCGTTCCGAAGATACGGGGCAAAAAGTGCCAAAAATGATAACTCAGTTTTTAAGAGAACGGAGCACCCGATTCTAATAATTCAAAAAACATTTTACTTGTATTGACAAGATTAATAATTGATCAAATTTTCATGAAGACAGGTCTAGCGGTTTCGGAGATCTAATAAAAAAAGTAAAAAAAAAATGCCATGATCATTAGACATATGCACATCAAATCATCAGATATTTTATAGAGATTTTAACAATAAGTATACATTTTGTTAACATTCCTATGGGTTCCGTACCAATGTTTATCCGTTAGACGGCGACGCAGCGCTTACGCGCTTCGATACTTCGTCTCTATGCAGTTAAAGCAGTACGATTGCTTTGAAAAAAAGTTCAGAATTTCCAAAATATTTCAATATAAATTTTTCTTCAAAAAGTTTTTTTTTCAAAAAAAAGTAAATTTTTGTCAAAAATATATAGTTTCTCAAAAATCTCATTTTTTCAGAGTATTTTTTTTTCAAAAATGTTAATCATTTTTAAAAAAATATTAATTTTTGGTTCGGGAAGTTACAGCAATTTGCCTTAAGGCACGATGCTATGCGCCCCACTAGGTTTATAATTTAATTTGCTCGTCAGTAGAGTCCTTTTTTAGTTTTTAAGCTTAAAATTAAATTCGCTCGTTAGTAGAGTTTCTTTTTATATTTTAGTCTTAAAAATAATTTGCTCGGCAGTAGAGTCTTTTTTTGATCTTGTACAAAAAAAATTAAAATTTAAATATGAATTAAAAAGGTGCTTACTTTTAGAATAAATGTGTGAAAACAAATAATCAAAAAAACTAACCTTAAAACAAAACACTTTCGTTAAAAAATTGACAATCTCTTGTTAACCCGAATTAAGGCGATGGATGGGTAACAAATATTTTGTCCTCTACTTTAAAATAGTATTGGTGAAAAATACCAAGAATTTTTATCAAGAACATATACTGCAATTTTTGTTTATACATTTTGCGATTAAATCGACACTATGCGCAAATAATATTTATAGTCATCA